GCAGCCGTTAATACTCTGGTCAGGACACAAGCCCTGGAATGAATGAGGTGACAAACTTTCTTTCCTTCAAGAAGACAAACTTCTTTTCCTTGTCAATCATTTTATACCCTGGGATGAATAAAACCATCTTGGTCTTTGTATCTCTCTACAAAGATACAGATTCCAAGAAGGACAATCAGTTGGCCTTGGGGGCATCACTAGTCTTCACCTGACTATGTTTAATGGGGAAGAAAAACAACCTCAAAAGGTGTCATTTGGGAGGGAAAATGGATCCTGAACAGAAAACAGCAGTAATCAATGCTGCCCTTGAAACTCTAGGCACTTGTATTGAGGAGCACTTCTGCCTCTTTCCAATGAAAATTTCATCTGCAAAGATGCTGAATGTTCAGCTGGTGGGCTCTGAAGTGGACTAAAAGCAACAACATGATGAGTACTATATTTGATAAGAAGTAGATCAAAAACAGCCAGTATTGGTCTGGGTGCAATCCTTTAAAGCAAACCTATGGTATAACGTGTAAAGAGCCAAAGTCGATTTCCGGGGTCAAATAACCAAAACAGGAAAACTGAAAAATTTAACCCCCATAATCAAGGGAAAAAGCCAGTCATCTCATTTGGAAAGCCAGCAGGCTATTATTAAAGGTTTTTCCCTCATTCACCACAACAAGTTGGTTCACTTCAGTTGATTAGAAATAAACAGACATTTGATTAGATTATTTGAATCCACGGAGTCAGGAAATTTTTAAAAACCTGAACAGAGCATGAATTACTTACATTCTGAAGAAACCCAGGCTTTTCAAACCTTTTTATGATATCAGGTGACACATCAATTACTGATTTGGGGATAATTTTATTGCAGGATCATGATATTATTAAACATTCTGTAATACACCCCAGTTGAAAATGACTGCCAAGGGAAAGAAATTTATTTGTCTTCTTTAAAGAAAGAAAGTTTGGCAATTATTTGAGCCATAACATCCATACCATCGTTGTTTAGCAGAGTACTCTGAGGACTGATCATTAAGCCTTAACACTTGGATAAAAACAACCTCTGAGGAACAGAAGTGGCTATGGAGGATTTCAGGATTTCTAAATAAATATTCAACATGGTCCTTGTTGGTGAAAATCCTTGTGGAGGGCCTGTCATAAAAAGTAGAACTTGTAACTGTATTTCATGAGTCTATCCTAACAGGACATCACACTCATAATTTTTTTGAAGTTAAAATCATTTCACCTAAAAATAATAGAAAGAAAACATGTGTACTGGAAACATAAGACTTCCCACATCTCCAGTCTCAGTGGTGGGGAGGAAGAGACAGACAAGAGGATGGGCTCCCAATGCGGCATTAAGGCAGAACTTAGTCATAAGAAAACCAAAGGAAAATTCCAGAGGTTTTACTCTCTTCTGGCTTTGAGAGGTCCCGAAATTAGTCTTGAGAAGAATATTTCTTGTTTTTATGATTGGTAATTTAATTTTTTTATTGCTGTACATGTATTTTGCCCACTTTTTAGTGGGGTCATTTGGGTTTTTTCTTGCAAATTTGCTTCTTTGTAGATTCTGGATATTAACCCTTTGCCAGATGCAAAATTTATGAATATTTTCTCCCATTCTACAGGTTGTCTATTTGCCCTATTGATTATTTCCTTAGCTGTGCAGAAGCTTTTTAGACATAATAGTACCAGACTTCAAAGTATATTATAGGGCTATAGAAACCAAAATAGCATGGTACCGGTATAAAAATAGAGACATAGACCAATGGAACAGAATAAAGAACCCACACATAAACCATCTACCTGGGGGAGGCACAGTGGCTCACACCTATAATCCTATCACTCTGGGAGGCTAAGGCAGGCAGACTCTTTGAGCTCAGGAATTCAAGACTAGCCTGAGCAAGAGCAGGACCTCATCTCTACTAAAAATACAAAAAATTAGACATGTATTATGGCAAGCACCTGTAGTTCCAGCTACTCAGGAGGCTGAGGTGGGAGGATCACATGAACCCAGGATTTTGAGGTTGCTGTGAGCTAGACTGACACCATGGCACTCACACCTAGGCAACAGAGTAAGACTCTGTCTCAAAAAAAAAAAAATCTACCTACAGCCAACTGGTCTTTGACAAAGCAGACAACAATACACACTGAGGAAAAGAAGCCCTATTGATAAGTTGTGCTGGGAAAAATGGTTAGCCACATGCAGAAGAATGAAACAGGAACCCTACCTCTCACTACTCACAAAAATTTACTCAAGATGTATAGAAGATTTAAACGTAAGAGATGAAACCAAAAGAACTCTAGAAGAAAGTATAAGAAAAAACCCTTCTAGATATTGGCATAGGCAAAGAATTTATGGCTAAGACTATAATGGCAATTACAACGAAAATACATAACTGGGATTTGACTCAACTGAGAGCAGTATTTCTAAAAGAAAGACAGGATTTGTTTGCCATAGAAATAGGACTGAAGTAACAATGTCCAAGCACTAGATAGTAGCAAATAACCACAGAAGCCTCTGCTAAGCAAAAGGGTCTGAAAGTGCCCAGCCGTCTTCCAACAAAGGTCAGAACCCTGACTGGCTTTATCAGCTCAATACCCAACACCACTACCAACTCCCTCCTCCAAATACTGAAAATTCCAACTTAATGAAGCTCTTCCCTACCATGCCAGGACAGACTTCTCCACCTTAAACAGGGAAACCACTTGTCTAGCTAAAATTCTTATACAGGCATGAAAAAACTTCTTATGGGGCAGCATCCATAGCTCAGTGAGTAGGGCACTGGCCACATACACTGAGGTTGGTGGGTTCCAGCCCAACCTGGGCTTGCTAAACAATGCAGACTCCAACAAAAAAAGAGCCAGGCATTGTGGTGGGCACCTGTGGTCCCAGCTACTTGGGAGGCTGAGGCAAGAGAATCACTTAGCCCAAGAGTTGGAGGTTGCTGTGAGCTGTGATGCCGCAGAACTCTACCAAGGGTGATAAAGTGAGACTGTCTCAAAAAAAAAAAGTCTTATGAGCTCGTCTGCACTTCTTCTCTGGTCTCATGTGTTACCACCCTTTCCCCCCACATCTTCCTGTTCCAGTCACACTGAAGACATACTCTAGGCCCATCAAACTATAAGCACTCTATGACCTTTCTAGGCATAGAAATGTCCTTTCCCCCTTTGGCCCTCCTCTTTCTCAGGAAACTCAGAATTATTTTAGTATTTAACTTCACATCATCTCTCTTTTAGAATTCACCCTCACATCTCCTGGATGTTACCTTAAACATTCCCCACTTTTGAGTTAGGTACTCTCCTGTTGGATTCCCCTAGCACTCTTACAATTAAAGCACCTGTAAAATGGACCCATAATTACCTATTTTTCTATCTCTTCTCCCATAGGCTGGATTTCTATACTTACAAATTCACAAAGAGATGGCAATCAATCAATATTTGTTGAATAAAAAAAATTTCCCCTGCACTCCATAAATTACCAGATACCTAGTGAACTCTCAGTAAAAAATTGCTGAATGGATCACAGGCATTCAAAATTATTTGTTGGTTGGATGAACTGATGGACAGAAAGTTAACCAGGAAATGATACATATCAGAAATCTTAAATTCTACTACACTACTTTCTAACCTCAAACACCATCCTTCTACCTCTTTCAGATGCATTTTCTGGTCCCTGACATGACCTCATAGAGACATTCACTCTCTTAATATTTCTGTAGTCACCAAGTCTTCATATACCTTGATAGTATCACTTCTGCACATACATTTTTAATGCCATGAATTTTTAACCCAAATCCTCATTCAAAAAAAATCCAAATCTGTACAAATCTCTGCTGTTGCAAATAATTTCGCCATCATTACTACTAAGAATAGTGTATCAAGATACTATCATAATATCACACCTCCATATAGAGGCAGGACGCCTAAAACTTTATGGTCTCCAACCTTAACTAAATTTATTTACCCTAGCCAGTCCTTTTACTTGAAGTCACCTCCCTCCTCCATTCCTTCCATTCTCCAATCATCTTCGTTCCTTACCCTCTGTTGATGGCAGATATCTTTATCTCCTACTTTATCAGATTATTGATCTTAGAAGGCTCCAACTTCACATCAACAAACTTTTTATATCTACAGCTGTCCTCTTTCCCTCTGTATTAAAGGATGATGAGGTGTCTTCCCTGCAGCCCACCCTCCACTGAAGATGAATCCTTTGTCTGTGCTTTTAATCTCATTCTCTTCCCTGTTCTCTAGGACTTTGCTCTGTGTATTAACCTCTCCCTCTTACATTTTCAATTTCTCTTTGTTCTGGCCCTTGTTTTTTAGCATACCAATATGCTAAATTTTCTCTCTTCATCCCTTCTTAACTTCATATCCATCCCTCAAGCTTTGACCTACTTTTTCCTTCTTTGATTACCCAAGCCACTTGTAGCATTATTCTCTGCATCTTCACATGCTATTCACTTAGTCAGTGCAATTAACTTTTGTGGGTTTTATATAGGCAAAAAGAAAGATCCCATAATTTGAAACATGATTGCTGCCAGGAAGTTAAACTGTAAGCTCAACATAAAATCAATCAGCAAGAAGACAAAACAATTTCCATGCCAGGATGAGATCTGATTAAAGGTATCAACAAGGAATTGGTCTAAAAATTAGCAATATCCATCTGAGAGAGCAAGTACTTGAGCCAATGGGCTTTAAGCAATTTAATCCCATAGTTAAAAAATGTACTAGTGTACTGGCCCAGTGTCACTTCAGTACTCTAATTTCCCTCATTTTGAGTCTTCTGATATTATTTAGTTTCCCATGTAGGTTGTATAGAGTTCCCACAGACCATCCTATTTCAGGAGTGTTCAGTACTAGAGGCATATATTATTTCCCCTGTTAAGGCTGGACTACAAAAGTTGATAACTGAATGTTAAGGGAAACACATTATTTTTAAGAAAAGGAAATAAATCATTCATTATAACAGAAGTTGTATATCAGGACTAAAGGAAGGAAAGAAATAATCCTACCCTCAAAAGTTTCCATGAAGATGTAGAGGTTACATCTTTCTCAAATATTAAAAGTGCTTTCTCCATTAAGTAAATTGCTTTAGATAGTTTATTCTTCTTTATTTTATTCATTACACTTGATTCTGCAAAAGCAAACAAATAGTTTACCAAAAAGGCAAAATAGAAATTATCTTTCAAATTTTGTGGAAATACCAGTTACCCCAGTTTTAATTACCTGTAAAACAATCACAGTCTCCAGATCGTTTTAGTTTTCCTGGACCTTTGGTTGAAACATTTTTGCTAAGTGTTGGAGTCTGCAAAACTGAATAAAAAGACTATCATTACAATTGGGTTTGTGTCAAAGACAAGAAATATTTATTACACATTACAAAGTAATGCAAATATTGATTACTCTATCATATGTAATCTTTTCTCATTAATAAATAAAACCTCAAATAAATCTACTCTGATGCAGTTTTATTATCATATCCTCTTTTGATTGCCACAGTATACTTCAGAACAGAAGACTTTCCAAATTATAAAATATTTGATTTTGTATTTCATCTTACATAAAATCATCTTGAAGATTGACAAATAAGGTCTAGCCTACTTTTGTTCACTTTACCTGACATGTTATGTAGTACAGATAGTGAGTCCTAAATACCAATAAGCTGTGAAATCTCTGCCCACAGCCAACTTTCGAGAGAAGCTATTTCGTCCATGGTCCCTGCAAGAGCTCTGGCTCCCACATGAGTACCACTCTCTCCTAGGTGTGGCCAATAAAATCGGGGCCACTCTCAAGAATTTCAGCTAAAACATGAACTGTTCCAGTTGTTGATCCTGGTACATAATGGGGGTTGTCCATCATCACCTGGTATGTAACTGGGGTGGTTCACCAAAGATAGGAACAGAGATGAAGGAGGAGGAAAGATAGAAACTACAGTGCACTGACTCTTGATTTGACGTCCTTACCTCGTCATGAGGCAATCACAACCCACAACTTAGATGCAGTTCATCTATCCTCTGACACTGCTGGCAGACATCTTGCTCAGTTTTTCACTAGTTTCTAGGATTAAGTATAAATCCCTTAGCCCTTCAGTCACTGTGCCCAACCTCTCTTGGCTTTGCTGTCATTTCCCCACATGTGCTCTTCACTCCAGCCATAAGACAATTCCAGGAGTTCCTAAACTGCACTGTGGAGTTATCGTCTTCCATCTTCTAAATGCTATTTTCTCTACCACAAATGCCACTTTCTCTACCTTCTTCATATAAGTAACTTTTACTGCTTTCTGGTCAACTATCGCTCCTTTCAGAAAGTCATTCCTGATTTTCTTGCCTGATACAAATACTTCTACATGCCTGTAACACGCTAAGCCCACCTCTACTACAACACTTAATTAGCCTCAAATGTTATAACTGGTTTGCTTATCTAGAAGCTCAAAAGTAGAAGCTTTCTTATTTGGTGCCTAATATAGTGCCTGGGTCTTGGTAGGCATCCAATAAATGTTCACTCAATTGCCTTAACAAATTATTATTAATTTACTTTAATTCAGACAAATAATTAAACCTCCTGTAGAAGTTTACTAACTGACTTGGTATGCAAAATGCAAATCAATAATGAAAAATATTGATATTAACCAGGGAACTATGAAAAAATAAAATAATGAAGCTTATCTGAAAAAACAGTCCACAAGAACACAGTTTGCAAATTAAATTGATTTCTCTACTGAAATTTGGTTGACAATTGATTCAGAACAGAGATTTTCTTTCATGACCACTACCTTGCAATCTGTCAAGAAGCACAGCAGCTACTCGGTGTTGAGATTGCATTAGTTGAAGATGCAAATCCATCATGAAACTATTTGCCGTGAGTTGTTTGTAACTCTCTCCATCTATGTCTTGGGTGTGCTTTGGTCCAATAGAGTTGAAGTAAAAATAAAAAGAAATAGTTATCAAAACACACTAAAAACAGCTGCCTCCTATTATCTTCCTTATCAATATCTTATTAGTAAATTCTGATCACTCAGCCCTTTGTATTTGGCTTACACATTGATAAATATGCTCAGAATTTATCAGTCTTGGACAAATTCAAAGACTCTTAATTCTCCTTGATCTCTTTTGGGAAGACAGGAATATTTCTGGCCTCTAAGGAAAAAGCCATCACAAATCATGCTTTACTTACCTACTTTCAAGGCCAGTCCTCTTCCTACTTAAGTAAAACTTCAATCTGACATATGACTTTCCAGTTCTTACCTTGATGTAGAGGTGGTCAGTTACTGACACGCCATCTGACAAAGTACTTAATGTGTAATTCGAATTTATTCCACCAATTGCTTTGTCAAGAAGTTCATAAGCAAGAAGTAATTGTTCCATAGGTTTTTTCTAAATAGTTTTATAAATAAACAAGAAAAAAAAACCTTAAGGGGAAATCATATGCCCTTTTTAACGATAATTCAGAACGAAATAACAAGTTCAAATAGTCTATCCAACATTAACAATGTTGTGTTTCATACCAAACATATTTCTCTTTAACTATATATGGATCTCTATCAATAATGGTGAAAATAATAAATAAATTTCATCATTTTTACAGATATAAGCTCTTTACAAACATTTATATAACTTCTGTTTATGGTTTGCAAAATTCTTTATACCAACTGTACAAATAAATTTTTAAAATATAACTCACACAATTTACCTTTTTTTACCTATTAATTTAAAAAGTTAATTTTTTTAATTTCAGAATCTGAGAGCTAGAAATTTAAACATAAAGCCCATCAAATCCAATGGTTTACATCACTATTTTCAAAATCTAAACATTTTTAATGTAATTATTCTCACAGAGAGACAAATATAGAGAATAAATATAAAGAGCAACCAGCTTTGTTCCAACTTTCAAATTTCCATATTTTTTCCAGAATTTTTGTAGCATGTAAAGTATACTGGCCAGGTACAGTGGCTTACACCTATAATGCTAGCACTCCGGTAGGCTGAGGCGGGTGAATTGCTCAGGAGTTCAAGATCAGCCTGAGCAAGAGTGAGACCCCATCGCTGCTAAAAATAGAAAAACTAACTGGGTGTCATGGTAGGCGCCTATAGTCCCAGCTACCCACAAGGCTGAGGCAAGAGGATCACTTGGCCCAGGTCTATCTCAAAAAAAGAAAGAAAGGAGAAAGAGGAGGAAGAAGAAGAGGAAGAACAGGAGGAGGAAGAGGAGGAAGAGGAGAGGAAGAAAGAAGGAGAAGGAGGAAGAGAAGAAGACACACAAGTACATAGACTTGAACTCTTCTATATAACTCCCCACAATGCTATTCCTCTTTTCTGTCCCTAGAGGTAGCTACTGTCCTTAAATTTGGTTTTAATAACCTTTTGCATGTTTTTAAACTTTAACTACATGTGTAGGTGATTTTTAAACATATGCAAGTTTTGCTGAAATTTTTCTTTTTTTTCAGATGGGGATCTTGCTCTGTCACCCAGGCTAGCGTCCAGTGGCCTCATCATAGCTCACTTGCAACCTCAAACTCCTGGGCTCAAGCAATCCTCTCCCTCAGCCTCCCAGAGTGCTAGGATTACAAGCATAAGCCACCTTGCCTGGCCAACCATATGCAATATTTCTTTGCATAATTTTTAATTCTCTCTTACAAAATTCTGCACACTGCTTTTTTCACAAAACCATACATTGTTCAAACTTACTGCTAGTATGTATAATCAATGGTTTGGTTATTGAACACAGAACTACTCTAGATATACATGTACCAAGCAGAAAGGGATTTAATACACAGCATAGAGGGGTCCATCACTATTGGAAAGCATGAGAAAATGAAGATTGAGAAAGCTGCCAGGGACAATTTTGCTTCAAACTATTCTCAAGAGTTTGCTTGAAACTCTGTGTGAATTTAAAAGAATCTAGGAGGCAGCTGATAACAGCCTCAATACCTACTACACTGAGGAAGGTGAATTGTAAGAGTCGCTCAGCATGGGTGATGAATACACATTTTCCATCTGCCCCTGAAGATTAAGAACTCTTTCTTCTCTTAAGCATTATAAATTTATGCAAATGTCCTTCACTAGATGACTGACCTAAAACCATATGGAAATGAGATGCTGGAAATATAGCTTCAGCAAAGGTGACTATTGACTGTTGGCAATGATTCCAAGCTGACTCTAGTTCATTGGTCCGCACAGCTACAATGAATTGGTATTACTCTGAGGAACCTGTCACAATTTATTTATCCACTCTTGCCAATGGACATTTTATTACTACTACTAAGTATGTTGCAATGTAGTGTACTTATCTGTGAATAAACACAAAGTTAATACTTCCTTTACAGTCCTTATATATTTTTTCTGCTTTCTTTTTTATTTATCTGTCTAAGACCTCCAGGCTTTTCTAAGACAAAAGGTGTTTTTTTGGTATTGTTTCAGGTTAATTTGAGGGCACAAAGGATTAGGTTATGAAGTTTGCATTTTACAGGTAGAGTTCCTCTTATAATTATGTCCCAAACCCAAGAGGTGTGCCATACCCCCTAATGTTGTACCCATTAAGCCATTAAACAGGAGTACACCCTTCCCCCTCTCTCCTCCCCTCTCTCCACATACTTATTCCTCCACCACCCCCCACCTTAATGCAAGAGGTCTTAAATGAACAGATAAACAAAAGAATGATGAATATTTTTATGTGATGACATTAATATAAAAGGACTACTTGTGATATTTTACCATAGGTATAGCACTCATTGAAGGTCTTTGACACAGAAGTTCTATTTCATTCCTAACTAACCAAAGTTATTTTTTTAAAGGGTGGTTGTTTTATAAAAGGATGAAGGTTGTTGAATTTCATCAAATGCTTTTGTTGAATCTTTTTGTCTATGTTTTTTTTCCCTTTCATCTGCTTATGTGATGTATTGTATTATAGATTTCGAATGTTAAGGCATCCTTGCATTCCTGGAATATATACTATATATCTATGTCTATCTATCTATCTACCTATCTATCTATCTATCTATCTATTCATTCAAGAATCAAGGCTCAAGCAGGTTTCCCTAGCAACCCAAGTAGTGCAAATTGAAATTATAAACCTACTTGAGATCCCGAAGGATAGACTTTCTCCCATCCACTCCCTTCTCAGTACACAAGGTGATCCCTGATCTGCCACCTTCTAGTCATTTCAATTTGGGAAAAGTTACTTGCTCTACACTTTGCTCATCTATAAAATGGGGATGATTACAGCAGTAATCTTAAAGTTGTAAGGATTAAATGAGTTGTACATACATAGCTCTGAGAGTGTTGCCTGCCACACAGTGAATGTTAGGTACACATATCTTATAATTCTTACTCATTTACTTTTCACTTATTTTCAGGATGTCCAGCCTGACAAGGAAATTGTTGTGGGCTGGGCACGTGGCTCACGCCTATAATCCTAGCACTCTGGGAGGACAGGGTGAGTGGATGGATTGAGCTCAGGAATTCAAGACCAGCCTGAGCAAGAGTGAGATGCCATTTGTATTAAAAATGAAAAACTGAGGCAAGAGGATCACTTGAGCCCAAGAATTTAAGGTTGCTGTGAGCCTTGACACCATGACATTCTACTGACTGCAACAAAATGAAACAAAAGAAAGAGAAAGAAGGAAGGAAGGAAGGAAGGAAGGAAGGAAGGGAGGGAGGGAGGGAGGGAGGGAAGGAGAAGGGAAAGGGAAAGGAATTGTTGTGGACATCATTGTGTTCCTATGGCAGAATTGCAAGTTAGGAATTCAGTGGATCCATCTGTCCAGACATGACTATGCAAATTCACCCAGAAAATCAATACTAAGAAAGCACTCTTTTGTTGTTGCTGTTTGCGTTCACATTTTTTTGCTATTGCTAATTCAAGTTGTCATAAACATTTCAAATCTAAAGTTTCCAAGTTTATTCACCTATATAACTGCCATCATTTGCATACATAAAGAAAATATTCTTTGTAGTCAAATGAGCCTTTCACTTTTAATGTATGTTTCCTGCACTGCTGTCCAAATTTTGTTTGTTTGGGGAGAGTACAGAGGTGTTTGGGGCTTTTAAGGATGGAATAAATATAGTGTGCCTAAAATCACAAGAATTTGAATAACTTTTTGTAGGAGTTTCAGTTCCTACTCCCATCTTTCATGTGCCCAAGACTCATCTCTTATCCCCAGATGGTTGTTAAAAATCTAAGCTTCTTTGTGACTATGCCCATCGATCTGCTGTAGTGCCCACTCGTGAGCTCACCCTGTCAGTTCTCCTTTCTACTTTGCCCCCTGGGATTTACCTTACTTTTTTGTGAGCTCTACAAAGTGCTTGAAAATATTTGTTCAATTCTGTCCAAAATTTCTAGGTGTTTTCCAGCAGGACTTTCAGTTCATCTAGTTTGCCATGTTTCCAGGAACAGAGGTCTCTAAGGATACCTCTTTAACACCAAAAAACATCAAAGACCGCACACAAACTCACTTTCTACCATCATAATCATCATCGCTACCACCACCATCATCACCTTTACTTATCTTCTTCATCATCACATCTAACATTTAATTAAAACATGTTCCAGGTTCCAGGCTAAATGCTTTACACATTAGTTATCAGAAATTTATAATTTATTTGTTGAAGAAATAAATATTATGTAATCATTAAAACTTTAAAGTTTTCTTTCACGTAATCACAATAGTACTTCATATTTTTTAAAAATAGTAGCAAGATATATAATTTATCCTACTTAGAGACTCTGCTGATGAACATATGAATTTTGGATCCTGTTTAAAACAACTCTTTTTTCCCCATTTCCCTCCCATCTAAAGGGGTCTGAAAGCCTTAGGTTAAGATTCAGTGTTCTACATAAAACATAAGAGAAAAACTGAGTAGCCACCATGTGCCAGACTCATTTACACAGTATTACAAATATCTCGTTACTATATAATAAGTCAATGGAACAGGTACCAGTACGATTTTATAAATGATGACACTCAAACAGATGAAATAATTCATGCAAATAATTCATTCAACTCCAGTGAGGTCTTCCAACACCAACTGCTGTCCTCTTCAACCCCACCAGTCATCTCCAGTGCATCTACCATATGCCCCAATGTGGCTGGTCAGGTTATGTACTGGACAACTTCCTGGGATACCATTCACATTGTTGCCATCACATATTTGTACATTTTTTTTGACAATTTCCCAGCAAATGATAGTAAATCATCATTTACTGAGAAAAGGCTACCTTTTCCTAGTTTAGATAATAGTTCCTAGTTTCCTAGTTTAACAGTAATAGTTAATAGTTAGCAGTAATAGATAATAGTTTCCTAGTTTAGCAGTAATAGATAATAGTTTCCTAGTTTAGCAGTAGTTCAGAAAGGATCTTTAGCTTCTTTGTTGTGGGAATATTGCCACCTTCTAAGAAACTCATTTAGTGGCTTTGTCAGAAAATTTCCATCTTAAGCCAACATGAAGCACTCCACTCTGTAAATACCACTAGTATTTCTATACCTACCCACTAGGCGAGTGATTCCCAAACCCTAGTGTCCTTAAGAATCTACCTGAAGACCTTTTAAGAACATCACACCTGACATTATGATTATGTCTGGAGTGAGAAATGGGAAGCTGCATACTGAGCAGACACTGTAAGGGTTCCGTGGAAAAAACCTTGGCAGATCGTTATTATGTGTCCTCAACTTATGAAAGTCAGGCTCTTTTCCCAGTTTAAGGTTTCTCAAATCTAGCTCTCTTCAGAAGACACAATACAGCATAAAGAGCTCAAACATCATCCCCTAAAACTCATAATTAGAGAAAGTAAATTCAGAATGACCCCCTCGTCCTTCTGTACATTCACAATGATATCTGATTGATACCCAGTTTCTTAGGACTTTATCTATTATGCCAAGTGTGGCAGAGAGTGGATAAAACAACACTCTTAAAATTAACACTTGTTCTTATATTTCAAAGGGCTCCCAAAATAAATGTGAGAAAAGTGGAACAGTACTGAAAGCCAAGTAGTCATTTATGTCTATGCATTAGAAAAACATCTTTTATATAAATACCTTGAAAACACAATTATTAGAACAGCAGTTAACTCCTACGTGGGGGGGAGGGGAGGCAATGTGAGCAGGGGACATTAGTGGAGGAGGTGAGTTCCATCTGCCTGTAATATTTTGTTTCTTAAGCTAGCAGATGAGAAAATGGTAAATTATAACAGGTCTACATTATAATATTCTTTGTAATAGGTAGAAAGATATCTCTGTAGTTCTCAATGTGTGCAGAAACTGTAAATTCTCAAATTTTAAATATTCAAAATTATTTCTACAATTAACCATTATACATTTACAAATATATTATTTGAAAACAAAATTTTGTGTTTTTAAGTGTATTTTCAAAAATATGTTGTACATAATACCTTTAATATCGGAAGAACGTCCGGGATCCCTTTTGGGGACTCATATAATTCTTCAGTCCCTTTTCTTAAAGATGAGTCTGAAAAAGAAAGAATGAAAGGAGGGAAGGAGAAAGGGGAAGGAAAAGAAGAGAAAGGAAAAGAGGAGAGAGGAAGAGAAGAGAGCAAGAAAGAAGAAGAAACAAAAGGGGGAAAAGGAAGAACCGGAAGAATGAAAGGAGGAAAGAGAAAAACAGAAATACAATAATTAATTATAATCATAAAAAATATTATGCTAACTTTGTTATCTGAATTATCTATGATCTTAGACATGATTCAACACTTAAAAATTTGACTAAATACCAAAGCGTTTCTTCCATTTAATTAAAGTTTTTCTTTATGTAAGGCAACTTAAAAGTATATTATAATATAATAATAATCTTTTTTTTTTTTTTGAGACACACTTTACTCACTTTACTGCCCTCAGTAGAATGCTGTGGTGTCACAGCTCACAGCAACCTCAAATTCTTGGGCTTAAGCAATACTCTTGCCTCAGCCTCCCAAGTAGCTGGGACTATAGGCACCTGCCATGACACCCAGCTATTTTTGAAAGGAGGTCTTGCTCTGGCTCAGAATGGTCTCAAAATCATGAGCTCAGGCTATTCACCCACCTCAACCTCCCAGAGTGCTAGGATTACAGGCAAGCGTGAGCCACCACACCCGGCCACAATATAATAATAATCTTGATTATCAACAAAGTGATATCATGGTGAAAAGACTGATCTTCCTATAAATTCTATAAGGACCATTTAAAAGCATTCAAAGCATAATAGCACAGAAGCTTTATGAATTTGAGCAAATATCAGAGAAGGCCAATTTGAATTAAAGGAATATAAATTATAACTATTAGCAATGCTAGTTATTATTAAAATTTATTCAATAACAAAAACTAAGCAATATATTACTTAACAGTCAATAAATGTCTTGAAAGAGACTATTGTAACTAATATAGAAGAATCACTTGTATTTTATATTTTATGTGCCAATAAGAGGATGGGAATAACATTCTTAGAAAGTTGTAAGAATTTCTATATCTAAACAGGGATAACCCCTAATTACATAAATATACAAGTTTTCAAGTTTATAAATGGATTAAGCTCCAAAATTGATTAGTTCCTTAGAAATTAAACACTTTAATAAAGAATCAATACCTTAAGCTGTATTTATTCCATTTATAATCAAACAGTATAAAACACTAGTCTCCCAACAGTAACTAGAATAAACAATAAAATTAAATAAGAAACTTTTTAATAAAATAATCATTGGGCCTTTTGCTTTCAGTGATGAATAATCTGGAAAAAAATCTCCTGTCTGGAGAAAAACTGGGAAATACACTCTTTACAAGCTAAGAAGATAGTGAAAAAATAAATAAAGTGCCAGGATCTTGGGAAGGGAATACGTGTGGGAAAAACACAAACTGCTTTGCTTCTGTTCTCACACCACAATAATCAACACATATTTTTATGACCAAATGTGTGTGGGGTTTTCCATTTTCTGCACACCAAGCAAGCAATCAATCCTGCAGCAGACACCAGTTGGGTGTCCTCCACCCCAATTCAATTCCAACACTATCTACTACCTGGAGATAGTATCACTTCTGGCAGGTTGAAGATTCAGTCCCACAAGTCTGCCCCTACCCCTGCTTCCAATGCCAATTGCAGCCCCAGGTCATTTTACTTATGCTTCTGACCACTGGCTACAAACGAAGCTCCCCTGATGCCATCCTTGAATGGAACTTATTTGCTAGAGCGGCTCACAAAACTCCGAGAAACGTGTTTTATCTTAAAGCACATTAAAAGGATACAGATGAAGAGATACATAGGGCAAGGTATATGGCAGCATTGAGACATGGGGCCTTTAAGAGGTGACTGGCTCTGCCTTCATGAATGGATTGATTAATCCATTAATAGATTAGAGGATTTATAAATTAATGGGTTATAATGGGAGTGGGATTGGTGGCTTTACAAGAAGAGAAGAAGAGACCTGAGCTGGCACACTCAGCCCCTTGCCACAGGCTGTCTGTCTTGCACAGCCTTAGGACTCTGCACAAACTCAGACCAGCAAGAAGGCCCTCACCAGATGCAGCCCCTTGACTTTGGATTTCTCAGCCTCCACAACTGTGAGAAATAAACATTTTTTCTATATAAACTAACCAGTTTTAGGTAATCTGTTATAAGCAACAGAAAACAGACTAATAAGCCCAGTAAGGCCTGTGTGTTCAGACTCTTCTTGGCCTCTGCGCAGCACTCCTTCCTCCCAGGGATAGGGCCAGACCCTTCTGAAAAGGGGTGGTCTCAAGACCTACAATCACACAAGGTATGTCAGAGAATTTCTTTATGGCCAGCTCCAAGACAGAAAAAAAGGGAGAGATTAGAGTCTATTTTTAGTTTCTGTGGTCAACCTCAGAGAGAAAAAGGAGCAGGTGAAAGGAAAAAAAGAAAGAGAGAGTCTATTTTCTAAGGCCTGCTTCTGAAACGTAAAGCACCCCAACATCACAACAGAAGGCTGTCTTTGGACTTTATCACTCTGAGGCTGTTCTGAAGCTACTTCAGAAACAAAAGACAAAAAAGCCAAGGACTTTAACAAAAGATGTGCTTACTGTTTTAGTCACTTAGGAAATGGTAAGGACTGTGGAAGTTATAAGCCATGAACTACCTATTTATACCTGTATGAACATGGAATTGGAACTACACGTGTCTACTTAAATGAGGATTTTCTTCCCCTTGTCACCCTTGAAACAGGAAGATCAACCCCTCCTCTTCTTCTTCCTCCTCAGCCTTCTCAGTGAGAAGACAATGAGGACAAAGACCATGATGATCCACTTCCACTTAATGAATAGTCAATATGATATACTTTCTCTTCTGTATGTTTTTCTCAATAACATTTTCTTTCCTGTAACATAGTTTATTGTAAGAATGCAATAAGTAATACATATGACACACAAAATATGTGCTGACTGTTTCTATTATCAGGAAGGCTCTGGTCAATAGCAGATTATTAGTAGTTAAGTTTTTAGGGAGTCAAAAGTTACCTGTGGTTTTAGGGTTGGTTCCCCTAACCCCCATATTGCTCAAGGGCCAACTCTGTGTGTGCATGTATATGTATACACACACACACATATACAGAGGGTGCCCAAAAGTGCATACACAATTTAAGAAAAGATAAAACTATATTAAAATTATAATACTGACATCACATTTGACTTCTGCAATTATAAGACATCCTCAAACATGACTTGCAATCATCTTTTGTCATCAATATAAGGATTTTAATATAGTTTTTCCTTTCTTAAAATGTGCATACATTTTTGGCACTCTATGTACATACACACACACATACACACATGTATGTATATCATAATATCACAGAGCAATACCTGGAATTTGGAAAGGAAGTCCAGGGAGTATAGAATGGCATTAGAGCTACTTTCCCAATGGAGCTTATATCATTTCTGAAAACAGATGCTGAAAAGCTGAGGGGTGCTTTTGACAGCTGGAGGGAAGCAATAGGGATTGGTATCCCAGGCCCACCAAGGATGAGAAGGAATGTCATCTTAAGTTTTAGGGGAAATTGAAAGTAAGTCTTCCAAGAGCATTTCTGCTTTAAATTATCTTAATGTCTCCAAGTGAAGCCCTAGAGTATTAGTGCCTTCATGCCTGTAGTAAAAGCAAGCATAAATCTTTTCTGAAAGAAGAAAACATTGTCTGAGGCCTCAAATTATTTCGACAAAATATTTATCAATAATAATGTCCACCACACACTCACAAATAATCAGAGTATCCAAAGAGTTGGTGGATTGAAGAATTCAATATAATAAACACAAAAGGAATTCCAGAAATTAGGAATCCCTCTTGGCTTTCCACTCCATTCCTCCAGCAGCCTTCAAACAATAACAGGTAAAAGTTGTAAAAAATATCTCAATCTCTCAGCTCTTTGGGGCACATTCTACATGGCCCCCTAGAGGTCCCTCATGGGAATAAGCTCTGAGCCCACAACTGAAGGCTTCTCATTAACTTACTGTACCATCTATCAGCTTCCTTTCCTCCCCTGCCTCCCTTCCCTGGCTGCAAACCCAAATAAACTACTTCACTCAAATCACTGTCTCAGAATCTGCTTCTAGGGAACCTACTTAGGAAAAAGGCCAAGCTGACAATACCTGAACTCAATAATAAATCTTTACCACACAAAAAATGGGACAACCAGACTTATGTGCTTCCTGATTCAATGTGAGTAAACAGCAACACTTATAAAGTATTCTTGACAAAAATAAGGTACTTGGCAAGAATTCTTTTTGACAAGATATCACCTGAATCTAAGTAAGCCTCTAGTCCTACCAATCAGGCAGAGAAACAGGTTAAACAACCTCACGAGGAGGTAAATAGCCACATCCAGAAAGCAGAAAATCCTACAGGGTAAGGACTCAGTTTCTTTAAAATATAAATAGTTTGAAAAGGAAGTAACAAGGGGAGGAACTGTTAAGGATTAGATTTAAGAGACATGGGTTTTTTTTTTTTTTTTTAGACAGAGTCTCGCTTTGTTGCCCTTGGTAGAGTGCCACAGCATTACAGCTCACAGCAACCTCAAACTCTTGGGCTCAAGTGATCCTCTTGCCTCAGTTTTCCATTTTTAGTAGAGACAGGGGTCTCACTCTTGCCCAGGCTGGTCTTGAACTCGTGAGCTCAAGTGATCCACCCACCTCAGCCTCCTAGAGTGGTAAGATTACAGCCACTGTGCCTGAGAGACATGTTAAGAAAATATAATACATGAGCCTTCTTTGGATTATGACTGGAATAAACCAACTTTAAAAGATGTTCTTTAATACAACTATGGATGGGAATTAAGACTCATATTAAAAGGAGTTATAATAATGGCATTGTGGTTTTCTATTTAAAAAATCCTTATGTATTAAATAGATAAATACACAAGGATGAGTATATGGAGAGGGCAGAGTATTTGCTAGTAAAATAACATGATCTCTGGTTTAAAACACTCAGGGGTAGGGGGCAGGAAGTATTACAGGGAGAGATGAAATAAAGATTAGCAAGATGTCGATAATAATTGGTGTTAGATGGTGCATACATAGTGACTTATTTCACCACTATTTTAAAAAAGTCTGCCTAAAAAAATGTTTTAAAGGGAGATAAAAAGCATTTTAAGACAAGATGTTTTTAAAATGTGACTTTCAACCATTTAAAGTGTTAGGTAGCCACATGGTTCTCAAACCTGTGGTTCTCAAACTTTGATGTGTATCAAATTCACTGAGGAAACTAATAAAGACTTAAAAGGTCCAAACTAGCTTGTGGAGGATGGAGCCTGGGCCTTGCTTTTTTAACAAGTTCTCAGGTAATACTAATACCAAACAAAGTTCAGAACCCTGGCCCTAAAACTCTATCTGCAAAGCCACACTTCACAACTGAGGACAGGTCAAGCTAAAGTGGTGAATCTCTGAGGAAACAATTCCTTCATTATAGTTGTCATATAACTCTACATGGGGTGAAACAGCAAAGTAAAAATCCACATTGTTTTCTACATATGGGTTACACAGTGAAACAGGTCAGGGCTTCACCCACAGGCAGAACAAAGAGCAAGAAGGGCAGAGCAGAAGGCCATCGTCTGAGAGAATACATCTTCCTGAATGAGAAGAGAAGGATAGAGACCAGAAAGGGCTGGGACAGGAAGAGTGGGGGAATGTGAGAGAAGAGGGGCCAGATAGAGGGAAAGGATAGGAAGAAAAGGAAAAGGAGAAACAGAACAAACAAAAAAGAATTTTCAGAGGAGGAGATTAGAAAAGAGAATGGAATAAAGAAAGAGATAAAAAGTAGAAGAAGGACAAGGTCCACTCAATAAATACTCATGTGAGCTGCTACTCTGTGCTGGGCAAGAGGCGGGTGCCAAGGAGAGAAGGGTGACCATGCATGCTCTACTCCTTCAAGTATAGGAAATGGAAGAAGAAGAAAACAGAAGATAGAAGAGAGAAAAGGGAAAAGAAGAAAAAGGAGACAAAGAGAGGAATAGGTGATAGTTAGGAATGAAGATGGGGAATATGCGTGTATGTGAGTGAAGGGAAGGCAAAAGGAGTCTTGTCTGCCGCTGAGTCACAGAGCACATAACCGTCTTTCCTTAACATCCACTTGATTTAACCTGTAATTATCTAACTCTGATTTATAATCATCAATGAAGCACAATACTGAAATATCCAGTTTCCATGAACAAAGTTAACCTATATTCTATATTATACTTATATAATTATTTTTGGATATGTGTATATTAACAGTTTCATACTTTTTCATCCAACATTTTACCTGGAGATTTTTTTAATTTTCTTTCTGGGCTTCCCAAACACTCCAATATTTCACATAATCGTAAAGTGATCTCTGCCACTACGATAATGTCAATGTCTTTTAATTTAAAGCACTGAATCACTTCATTTATCAGCCACAGAAGGTAAACCCACTGAAGAGAAAATATACAGCAGAATCAATTAAAAGCATATTACTTTGTAAAAAAGAGTCACATTTTTCAAAACTTAGTACCTCCTTGAAGTCACATCTTCTAATCATATGGAAAAGTGATACAGGTAGCCTCTTCTTATAAATTACAAATTAATTAGAAATTAATATAAAACTCAGTGATCCTTAAAAATGATATAAATAATCTGTTTGTGCAAATTCAAAAAGTAAATTTACTTAAGTTTATAGTCTACACATTCATAGTCATAACGGCAAATCTATGATCTGTCATGTTTCTACATTAGCGAATATTATCTGTATCCTCAAAATCCTCACTCTCTTTTCCAAGCAACTGTTATGATCACTGTCAATGTCCTCCAAATTAAAGAGAGGAATGCAGATATTTTGGGCTTTGAGCTACGTGCTTTAGAAATTGTCTCTTATGCCTGTATCCCCAAGGCTTAGAACATAAAACCAACCATAAGACATAAGATGATAAAATAATATTTATGTATTTACATTATTACTTAACAGAGTTCCTAATAAAAATCACACCTATGCATCCTAGCTAATCTTTGGAAGTTTTAGAGTCACCAGAGCTAAAATACTAGCTTTTACTAAAATATTTTCTCCTAAGTTTCCAATTCAAATGCTCAACTTTCTCCCTCTTATAAATAGTTCTTTAAAATATCTAAATCAGGGGTCCTCAAACTTTTTAAACAGGGGGCCAGTTCACTGTCCCCTCAGACCATTGGAGGGCCAGACTGCAGACCCCAGGATGAATTGGCTGCTAAGCAGGACAGGCAGTGGCAGCAAAAACACCTGGTAGGCCGGATAAATGTCCTAGGTGGGCTGCATGTGGCCCGCGGGCCATAGTTTGAGGACACCTAGTCTAAATAGATGATTGCAGTGGGGTGGGGGTGTGAAACTACTTGCTTATTTGTATTCTCTATTATTATTCTTTACTGAATTGATCCCAATTCATGCGACTTTTGATATACTATATTTATTCCACTTTTAAAAGCCCAAATCATCTCTGCATGCCCCCAAACAAACAAAATTTGGACAGAGGTACAAGGAACACATATTAAAAGAAAAGCTCATGCGACTACAAAGAATATGTTCTTAACATAATATGTGTGCAAATAACAGTAGTTGTGAATAAACATTTCAAAACTCCAGACGTGAAATGTTTACAGCAACTTGAATTAGCAAAAACAAAACAAAAAAAAAAAAAAAAAGCATGTGAAAGGAAACAAAAAAAAGAATACTTTGTTACTACTGATTCTCTGGGTGAATTTTGCATAGTCATATCTGGACATACTGATCCGCTGAATTCCTAACTTGCATTTCTGCCATAGGAACATAATTATGTCCACAACAAGTTCTTTGTCAGGCTGGACATCCTGAAAATAAAAGTGATAAGGTAAGTAAGAAAGAATAATAAGATATGTGTACATAACAGTTACTATATGCCAGGCAATACTCTCAGAGCTGTATATACAGGTATCCTAACTCATTTAATCCTTGTAACAACCCTAGAGGTGAGTTACTGCTATAATCGTCCCATTTTACAGATGAGCAAACTAAAGTACAAGTGACTTTCCCCAAGATGAAACAACTAGAAGGTAGCAGATCAGAGGGATTCAAACCCAAGTAGTTAAGCTCTAGATTCTTCACTCTTAGGAATGTTCTAGGCTCTTTGGCCTATCTAAAAATAAGTCTCAAGCATTTTTTAAAGCAAGTATGTAAAATAATTACTCTTATTCAGCTTTGAAATGTATACATTCTTTTTCTAAAATTCTTGAAATAAAATAATAAGGAATTAAAGCAGCAGGGAGATTAACTAGTAGCTACAGAGAACACAGGGGAGAGACAAGGAAAGGAGAAACTAAACAGAACTTTACTTTGGGTATCAAGGAGTATGTCTCTTCTCACATCAAAGTTACTGGCTCTTTTCAAAAGAAAACTAAAGCCATTCATTATTTCTGAACTAAAAATATAATAAGTTTATGATTAAAATATACCAAACTATAAGCTCTGTTTAGGCAACTCTGTGACTTAATTTGCATATATAACACCCTGGGGAAGTACATGGGAACACAATAGAGGTCAGTACTGTACTGAATTCAACTAAAACATAAATGATTTTGAAAAAAAAATCAAACAGATAAATAGACTAGCCTGAGCAATAGGGAGACCCCCTCTCTAAAACTAGTTGGGCATTGGGGCAGAAGCCTGTAGTCCCAGTAGCTGAGGCAAAGGCAGCTGAGGAGGCTGAGGCAAAAGGATCACTTGAGCCCAAGAGTTGGAGGTTTCTGTGAGCTATGATACCCTAGCACTCTACCCAGAGTGACAAAGTCAGATCTATCTCAAAGAAAAAAAAAAAAAAAACAGATAAATAAATGAAAGTTCCCTATCCATTTTTTTTGTTTAACTCTTCTACTATCATAATTACATTTGCTGTTAATCACCTTCTTTTGAAAATTAAATAATACGTTATAACATATTCCAATAAACTTGGAAGAAATTAAAAACATCATAACAGTGAAACCTATTGTGTCTCTTACTGTGTTTCACTTACCTTGGCTAAAGCTAATATCATGCTCTATAATTGTGGGTCACAAACTTTCTTTGTAATAATAAAACCAAATTCTCAAATGAAATTCCATCAGAATCCCAGTACCATGTACAAAACTAATAAAAATAGGTTATGGTGTTACTTAAGGCTGGCCTTCTATAGAACACCAGAGAAGCTCTGGGACTCTTGGGAATTCTTTTTGGGAAACCAGAAATCAGTTTCATGGAAGAAAATCTTTCCATGGACTGGGTGTAGAGGAGGAGTGATTTTGATATGTGTCTATAAGCAATTGATGTATTATGGTCTCTATGCAATCAAACTTCTCAGCTAATGATAATCTCAGGCTGCTCCCCAGAACTAGCATCACCACCTCAGCTCCACCTCAGATAATCAAGCACTAGATTCTCATAAGGAGTGCACAACCTTGATCCCTCACATCTGCAGTTCACAGCAGAGTTCCCATTCCTATGAGAATCTAATGCCACTGCTGATTTGACTGGAGAAAATTCAGGTGACCCAAGCAATGGGAGTGACTATGAATAAAGATATAACTCTGCAAGATTTGCTAACCCACCACTTACCTCCTGCTCTGCAACTCAGTTCCTAACAGGCCACGGACTGGTAGTGGTCCACAACCTGGCCATTATGTATAAAGTAACCTACAGGAATAACCAGGCTTTGTTTTCATGGAATGAAAAACAGTATTTTTTATTTGAGATGGAGGTCTCACTCTGTCACCCCAGCAGTCAGAGCTCACTAAAGTCTCAAACTCCTAGGCTTAAGTGATCCTCTTGCCTCAGCATCAGGAGTAGCTAGGACTACAGGCGTACGCCACCATGCCCAGCTAACTTTCTTACTTTTTGTAGAGACAGAGTCTTGCTTTACTATATTGTCCAAGATGATCTCAAACTCCTAGCCTCAAATGATCCTCCTGCCTCAGCCTCCAAAAGTGCTAGGATTATAGGCACAAGCCACCACACCCAGATGAAAAACAATATTTCATAAAACATATTAACTGTCCATTTAAACCACTGCCTCACTTTTTTCATTCTTAAAAGTATATTGTAGCTTGCTTGGGAATTTCCCAAAATGAACAGACACCCAAAATTACAATAATAATGAGAAAAAAACATATAATTGCAATCAAAATCTAATTCAATCCTATATTCCAATGATTAAACTATATAGAATCTTAGCAAGATGAAATTCCTGTGGCATTATTAATCTGGACTTAAATTAAGCATTTTAACCTCTTTCTACACTATTAAAAACTATTCAAAATAGCTATTTCACCTGAGAATAGGTGCAGACACAGAAATGCAAGGTTGTTGCCAAATGGAAAATTTCATCTGAATATCCCGAAGTCTTCACACAGGAATCTAAATTCAGAAATAGATGAAAATAAAAATTTCAAATAGAAAAAGCACAGAAACATAGAAATTTTACAAAAATGACACAAATTATATGGAGGGCAAATGTCATGTCAATAAGACAAATTAAATGCTTCTATATGAAAACTAATGTAAGTGGCTCTAATCCAAATAAAATAGACTATTATTATCATTAATCCATAGTATGTATGCCAACTATGTCCCAAAAGAAACTGAAGAGATTTATTGAAATATATGTAAAACATGGAGATTGAAAGAAAAATAAATAAATTATCTATTCAGAAATAAAAGTTGTATCTCAGTACTTTGTACAAATTATTTACCACAACTGACAGGCTACATAATATCTTAAGAACATGGCAAAACATAAAAACACAGAATTAAATATTTTCAATGATCAAAAAAGTAGAAGCTGCATATTTTCAATTACATATGCAATAACTTTTAAGACTTGAAAAGTCCTATAATGGAAAACATTATAGCCTGCTTGAAAGAGAGAAAAGACTACCAAATCTTCCTTTTCTAAAGTGAACTGATAACTGTGCCCTTTGATTTGCTTGCCTGCTACCCTTGCATTTATCCCAACAAGCTAGCAAGTAAGTGGAGCCTCATTCCTCTACTCAAAACTGTCCTTTGGAATAAAATCCAACATCCTTACAAAGTCTAGTAACCACATTATCTACCACCCAACTATTAGTCACCTTGTCACCTACCACACTCCCAAACTTCACCACTATCCCCAGTGCACTCCAGCCCCTGTCATTACTTCAATAACCAAACACACCCTCACCTTGGGGCTTCTTGCACCTCCTGCTCCCTGGCACTTGACTATTCTATCTCACATCTCACCTACGAAAATCATATTTTATCAGATAAAACTATCCTAATTTTTCTACAAAGCAACTAAATACTCACGAGCAGAGCCCATTTTTTTTAAAGAAATTCGATTTGACTGTCCTTCTTTATGGTTTTCCAAAGGAAAGATCAAACCTTTGCTTTTCTTCACATTGATTAGTGGTTCAATTGCAAGCAGAAGACATAAATCCTTCCCTGCCTTCTTTGACTCTGGATCATCGTGCTCCTGAGAAGTATATCCTATAAGTTAATTCAATGTCATTTTTAACAAAACAGAAATAAATAAATGATTTTGCATATGTTACCTCGAGAAAAGAAATAAGATTCCCAGCTAAAGATTCAAATAAACTCCATTCCTCGTAATTAAAAGCTAATTTTACAAATTTCACAGCAGCATCCATAGAAATAACATTTTTCCTTTCTACCATAAGTTCCAGAAGAGATGTTCTTGGAAAATCAAGTATTCCATCTGCAGTAGTATTTGATGCTAGAAAAAGAAAGGGAGAGTTTGAGTATCATTCATACAAAGAAATATTTATTAGCTATAAGAAACTGCCAAGCACTGGGGGAAAATAGAACAGAAACAGACGCAATGCATGACTACTAAGAAGGGGAGAATGGAATCTCAAACATAGAGGATTAGAAAGAGTTTACCAGCCAAATAGGCAGCTAGATATAGACTCATCTAATAGGGATATAGCTTTTAGAGTCATCTAAAGTCACCATATAAGGGAAAGTAGGAAATTGTAGCTAAATGTACCATTATTTACAAAACATTCATTACAAAATTTTATTTAAAAGCACCCTAGCACTTAGAGAATATTTTGTAAATACCCTCAAGGATGTTAAGAAACTGCATCATGGCTCGGCACCCATAGCTCAGTGAGTAGGGCACCGGCTACATACACCAGAGCTGGCGGGTTCTAGCCCAGAGTGGGCCTGCTAAACAACAATGACAACTACAACCAAAAAATAGCTGGGTGTTGTGGCGGCCGCCTGTATCCCAGCTACTCGGGAGGCTGAGGCAGGATAATTGCTTAAGCCCAAGAGTTTGAGGTTGCTGTGTGCTGTGATGCCATGGCACTCTATCCAGGGTGACAGCTTGAGAATCTGTCTCAAAAAAAAAAGAAAGAAAGAAAGAAAGAAACTGCATCATTCATACATTGCTGTGGGAATGTAAAATGCTGCAGTCACCTTGGGTAATAGCATGGCAGTCTCTTACAAAACTAAACATGCACTTACCACATAATCCAGCAATTTCACTTTTGAGTATTGATCACAGAGAAATAAAAACTTATTTTCAACAAAACCCTGTACTCAACTGTTCATAAGCAGCTTTATTCCTAATAGCCAAAAAGAAACAATTCAAACATCTTGCAATCAGTAAATGGTTAAACAAATTGTGATGCATCCATGTCATGGAATACTACTCAGCAATAATAAGTGAACATTAATACATGCAACTTGGATATCTCTCAGAATTATGTTGACTAAAAAAAAAAGACAACATAATACAGTCACCTAATTTATAACAAAGAGATACTCTAGTCAAGAGGTAAAGGAAGATCTCTTCAATAAATGGTGCTATGTCAACTGGATAGTAAATAAATCTTGATCCCTACCTCATGCCAACAAAAAGGACCTAAATAACCTTATGTGAGAGGTCAAACAATAAAACTTATGGAAAAAAAGAATAAGAGGGCTCAGTGCCCATAGCACAGTGGTTAGAGCATGGGCCACATACACCTGGGCTGGTGGGTTCAAACCCAACCCAGACCTGCTAACCAACAATGACAACTACAACAAAAAAATAGCCAGGCATTGTGGCAGACACTTGTAGTCCCAGCAACTTGAGAGGCTGGGGCAAGAGAATCACTTAAGCCCAAGAGTTTGAAGTTGCTGTGAGCTGTGATGCCCTGGCACTCTACTAAGGGTGACATAGTGAGAATCTGTCTCAAAAAAAAAGAAGAAGAAGGAGAGAGAACATATTTATTTATGTCTTTGGAGGTAACATATTTCTTAAACATAATATAAATAGGAGCAACTATAAGAAATATATTGATAAATTGGACTATATTAAAATTAAGACTTTCTATCCTTCAACAGATACCATTAAGAAAATTAAAATACAGCCACATGTGGGAAAAGATATTTGCCATGCATGTATTTAATAAAGAACCTATATCCAGAATATATAAAGAATTCCTACAAATCAATAAGAAAAAGGCAGGCAGTCCAATAGAAAAATGGACAAAGATTTGAATAGGCACTTGACAAAACATGATTTCCAAGCACTAAAAAAAAAAAAAAAAATGTTTGAAAAGCTGCTTAGAGACATGCAAATTAAATCCATAATATTACCCCATTGAATTTACATCAAAATGGACAAAATGAATGGACACATAATATTAAGTGTCAGGGAGAATTTAGAGCAATTGAAATACTCATAAAATGCTAAATGGGGTATAAAGTGGGGGAGAAAACTTTGAAAAATAGTTGCTAAAGCAAAACACAGGAATATCCTATCTACCCAACAGATCATGAGGTAGCTACTGCAATGGATTTCACGTATAAAGAATTAATAGAAATGAGAGATGGGGAATTAAAATAGAGATGGCAAAAACAATAAAGGGAATTGACAAGAAAGTGGAAAATAATCAAAAGGAAATCCAAAAACAGAACCAAAAAATGGATGAAAAATATGAAGAATATAGAAAGGATGCGGCAGCACTTAAGGAATTGTAGGAATCAATCAGGGAACTTAAAGATGCAGTAGAATGCATCAATAACAGATTAGACCATGTAGAAGAAAGAGTCACAGAGCTAGAGGATAAAAGTCTTGAGCTAACCCAAGTAGTTAAAAAGGCAAAAGAGAAGAGAGAAAAGCACAACATTTATTCAGAGCAATATGAGACTTCATGAAGCATTCATACATATGAATTATAGATATTACAAAGAGGAAGAAGAACATCACAAAGGAATGGAAGCCACTTGAGCAGCGGTTCTCAACCTGTGGGCTGCAACCCCTTTGGACTGTATTAAAGGTTCACGGCATTAGGAAGGTTGAGAACTACTGCACTAGAGATATCATAAGTGAAAATTTCCCAAGTTTCACTAAAGATTCCAAAATACTCCTTTTAGAGGGGTATCGAACCCCAGGTCATCTCAACTCAAACTGAACATCTCCAAAACACATTATAATGAACCTATCCAAAGTCAAGATCAAAAAGAAAATTCTGCAAGGAGCCAAGACTAAGCACCAATGACCTACAAGGGAAATCCATCAGGTGACAGCATATTTTCCAGCTGAAACTTTCTAAGCCAGAAGAGAATAGTCATCTAACTTTAACCTTCTTAAACAAAACAATATTCAGGCCAGAATTCTGTATCCTACCAGCCTGACAAGAGCGAGACCCCTAACTCTAACAAAAGCTGGGGATTGCAGTAGACACCTGTAGTCCCAGCTACTCAGGATGCTGAAGGAAGAGAATTGCTTGAGGCCAAGAGTTTGAAGTTGCTGTGAGCTATGATGCCATAGCACTCTACCACAGGTGACAAAATGAGACTCTGTCTCAAAAACAAACAAACAAAGAGAATTCTGTATCCTGCCAAACTAAGCTTGAAAATCGATGGAAAAATCAAATATTTTACTGACAAAGATTGAGGAAATTTACCACAAGATAGTCCTACGGGAAATACTTAGACCTGTTTTCCACACTGACCATCACAATGGACCAGGAGCAAAGTAACACCCCGAAACTAAAGGACGAAACCTAGCTTCCACAATGGCACAAAGGATAAAACTAAGCAATGGACTTTCACAAAATGAGATGATTAGAATTCCACCACATTTATCAGTTCTCTCAATAAATGTGAATGACCTCAATTCCCCACTGAAGAGGCAAAGGCTGGTCAATTGGATTTTAAAAAAGCACAATCCATCTATATGTTATCTTCAGAAAACACACCTAACCTTAATGGATAAAACAAGACTCAGGGTGAATGGTTGGAAAACAATATTTCAGGCAAATGGAAATCAGAAGGAAGGAGGTATTATAATCTTATTTTCAGATACAGGTGTATTTAAAGTAAATAAAATTTAAGAAAGACAAAGATAATCACTTCATACTGGTTAAGAGAACAATACAACAAGAAGACATCTGAATTCTAAATAACTGCCCACCCAAATTAAATGCTCCCAGATTTATGCAACAGACCTTAATTGATCTGATCAATATAATATCCCATAACACCATAATTTCTGGAGACTTTAACACACACACACCCATAGAACTGAACAGATTATCTAAAAAGAAACTAAACAAAGATACAAGGCACTTAAATGTGACCCTACAACAAATGGGCTTAATACATATATACAGAACACACCATCCCAAAGTAAGGAATACACATTCTTCTTGTCAGCCCATAGAACAGTCTCTAAAATAGATCATATCCTAGGACACAAATCAAACATCATCAAAATTAAAAGAATTTAAATTATACCTATATCTTCTCAGACCACAAGGCTATAAAGGTAGAAATCAACTCCAACAAAAATTTTCATCCCCCCACAAAGGCATGGAAATTTATGCTGAATTACAGTCGGATCAAGGAAGAGACAAAGGAAGAAATTATTAAATTCCTTGAACATAACAACAATGAAGATACAAGTTACCAAACCTGTGGGATACTGCAAAAGCAGTGCTAAAAGGGAAATTTATCACATTAAATGCCTATATTTGAAAAACAGAAAGAAAGCACATCAACAACCTAATGAATCATCTTAAGGAAATGGAAAAGGAATGACAATCCAATCCCAAATCTAGTAGAAGAAAAAAATAATTAAAATGAAATCAGAAATAAATGAAATTGAAAACAAAAGAATTAGTCAGAAAATTAATAAAACAAAAAAGCTGTTTTTCAACAAGATAAATAAAATAAACAAACTTTTAGCCAGATGAACTAGAAACAGAAAAGTAAAATCTCTATTAATCCTAATCAGAAATGAAAAAGGGAAAATGACCACAGATACCACAGAGATACAAGAAATTATCTCTGACTACAAGAAACTCTATGCCCAGAAATTTGACATTGTGGACAAAAGGAACCAATACCTGAAATCACACCATCCTCCTAGACTTAACCAAGAAGACACAGATCTCTTGAACAGACCAATTTACAATCTCCAAGATGTGGAAACAACCTAAATGCCCTTCAACCCAGGAATGGAGTTGAAACACATTCTTCTTAGAAAAGTATCACAAGAATGTAAAAGCAAACATCCAATGTACTCAATACTAATATGGAGACAGTAGATGATCTAATATACACCCACAGAAGAGAAAATCTCAATTCAGTTCAAGTTGGGAGGAGGGGTAAAAGCGAGGGAGGGGGAAGAAGGGAGAGATTTGGTGTGCTTCTACTTAATGGGCACAATAGAAGGGTATATGGCACACCCTTTGAGTGCAGGACACTACTACAAAATGGACTCTACCTTGCAAATGCAAATTTTATAACCTAATTGTTTGTACCCTCACACTAACCTGAAATTAAAAAAAAAAAAAAAGACTAAAGAAATTGCTGGCTGCCTTGTCAAACTGATGAAATAAGAGATAAGGCAGACTGGCCCATGTCAGAAGGAAAGAAAAGAGACACTGTACAAATCCTATAGACATTAAGATCATAAAGAGATATTATCAATAATTTTATGAAAATGTTTAAGTACTAGATAAAATTTAAAAATGTCAAGAAAAATACAATTCACCAAACTCATAGATTTTTTTTTAAATGAATAAAAATAGCTAGAGACAGTGGTGCACTCCTATGGTCCCAGCTACTGGGAAGGCTGAGGTAGAAGTATGGCTTAAGCCCAGGAGTTCTGGGCTATAGTGCTCTGTACCCACCTGGTGTGCACAGTAAACTGACTTTAATATGGTGGCCTTCCAGGAGCAGGGGACCACCAGGTTGCCTAAAAAACAGTGAACTGGCACAGGTCAGAAATGGAGTAGGTCAAGAATGAAAATAAAACTCAAATAAGTTTATATCTACAGGGGAAATTGAATGCATAGTTTAAAACCTTGCCACCAAAAAACAATTCAAAGTCCAAATGTCTTCACCAGTAAATTCAACCACATATTTAGGAAAATATAACACCAGCATGATACAAACTCTTCTGGATAATGGAGAAAGAAAGTATTCTTCTCAACTCATTTTATAAGGGTAGCATGACCCTGAGAGCAAAACCTAAAAAGGACATTTGAAGAAAGGAAAATCTCTCTCATGAACAGAAAAGCAGAAATGTTAAACATTAGCAAACAAATCAAGCAATATATCAAAAAGCTAATTCGCACCTCCAAATAAGGTTTATTACAAAAATATAGGGTGGTTAAAAATTATATAAACAACCAATGTAATTCACTTTAGTAGAAATAAAAGAGAAAGTCATTTTTTCAAACTTAGTAAATCTCAATAAATCCACATAAAGCTTTTGATAAAACAAAATATTTATTCAAGAGTAAGAACAAGGGAAGGGGGAGGTTTGATAGAGGGAGGGTAAATGGTGGGACCACACCTATGGAGCATATTGGAGGATACAAGTCAAATCTATCAAGTATAGAACATAAATGTCTTAACACAATAATCAAGTAAATGAGGAGAAAGCTATATTAATTAGTTTGATGTAAGCACTCCAAATTGTATAAAAAAATCAACACATTGTACCGCACATATGCATAAATGTATTCATGACCTATGTGTATATGACTTAATAAAAAAAATAATAAAAAAGCATAAGAACAAACAAACAAAAAAAAAACTCCCAGCAAACGAGGAATAAAGGAAACTTCCTTAATCTGAAAAAAAGTATCAGTAAAGATCCTTCCATAAATATCATAAGAAATAGCAAAATGATGAAAGCTTCCTATCTGAGATTAAAAATGAGACGAGGATGTCTGCTATCATCACCAATTACTTTCATGTGTTATTGAAGATCCTAGCCAGTACAATAAATCAAGAAATAAGAAATACAAAGAAAAAGAAATTAAAATACTAAGAATTGGGCTCGGCACTCATAGCACAGTGGTTACAGCACCAGCCACATGCACTGAGGCTGGCAGGTTCAAACCCAGCCCAACCCAGCTAAACAACAATGACAACTACAACAACAACAACAAAATAGCCAGGTTTTGTGGAGGGTGCCTGTAGTCCCAGCTACTTGGGAGGCTGAGGCAAGAGAATTGCTTAAGCCCAAGAGCTGGAAGAAAGTTGCTGTGAGCTGCGATACCATAGCACTCTACCAAGGGCAACATGGTGAAACTCTGCCTCAAAAAATTCAATTCAATTAAATTAAATTTAAAATAAAATATTAGAATTGAAAATAAAATAAAATTGTCATTATTCATACATAATTGTATACACAAAAAAACCCCAAAATCTAATAATTATTGGAAATATCAATTTCTTTACCAAGGTTGCCAAATTCAAGATCAATATAAATTGTATCAGTTTCTTATGTCCATGCAAAATTTTTGGTTATTCATGTCTGCCACAAAATATTAGTTTAACATCTTACTTACTTATTAAAAGTTCTTTTCCTGCCAAAAATAGTTCTGAGACAACATCACGAAGCTCCACTTCTTCTGTAACAAGAGGTCCAGTATGTAGTATTCGCCTCTTTGAATCAGAAAGAGCTTCCAAGATAGCCAGGAACCGGGATGCAGCAGTATCAAACATCTCATCCAATACCTTTTCTGTGATTGTACGTGGCCACATCAACTGAAATAAAAAAAATTCAGTCCATTTTTTAAAGATAGCATAAGGCAAATAAAAGTAAGGTATGCTTAATTAATGGTAAAACAGAGAGTACTTAATCTAAAAATGATACAGCTACTTTTCATATTTTGAGATTTCACTGAGACTTCATTAAAGTTTATGTCATGCTATCATTGCATTGAAGACTTTGCTGTTTATTTATATGTTTGTGTTTCCAAGGTAGCATAGAAAGGTGGTTTTGTTATGGTCTTTTTGTTAAGGCAGCATCAGCCTCCCTATGCTTTATTACAACCTTTAAGGCACTGATACTCAAACTTTGGTTGCCTAAGAATCACTCAGGGCTGCTTTTTAGATTCAAGACTAAATCTTCAGAGATTCCATATGATGAGTGAGACATTTTTAATAGGCACTGCAGGAAATTCTAGCACTTGATGGTCTTCAAACTCAAATTCAAAACAGTATTTCATAATGTAAATAAATACGCTTGTAGTTAACTCTAAGGAAGAGTTCATCAGCTGTATATTAAAAAGCTAGTAATTGTTAGAGCATGGTGTGAGTTCCCAGTCACTCTGTTTCTCCTGGCCCCGAATATTCTTGTCTCTGACAAATGACCTGTTCTCTGCATTTAGACTACCAGTAAGAATTGTATATCTAGTTGGCTTTTCTAGAATCTATAAGGTACCAACCATCTTCCTCACAATTCTCTTGCTTTTATTTCTCTTCTTGGAACAAAGTCAGAAAGACAAAAACAAAAGCAGGGATAAAGCTGCTTTAGATTATTTTTCCCCAAACACCAGCTTCTCTACTCACTCATTTCTGTGCTTTTTCAATCCATAGGTCACCTGATATATTAAAAACCTCTTTAAAATTCAAACTTCACACCCTGCCTTCTCCTTCCTTATAAACAGAGGCAACAAGTTCGCCTAAGATTTTTATTGTACATTAAAACAGAGCATTAAAATATATATGTGTGTGTATATATATAAACAGCATAATAAACTTTCTAATAATTAGAAGTATTCAAAATTAAATGGTAAAACCCAGAAAGATAAAAGAGTGAAATTGCTTATAAAAATATCATTTAAAAACTAGCAAAATGAAAAATATTTATCAGGGGTGTAGATGAATACTAAGTAAAAGGTTTTCAAATATAAATATTGGAAATGTTTATAAAAAAAGGAACTTAAAGCAATCAAAGAATGGATTGTCAAATATGACAAGCAAAATATTAATGTCGGGGATTCTGGGAAGATGGCCGACTGGTAGCAACCCTGGTCAGAGGCTCCTGAACAAAGGAAGAAAAACTGGTTGGAATCAGAATCTATGAAGTCAAAGACGGGGAGCTGAGCCCAGAAAGAAGTTC